CCTTTTCTGGCCCGTTGCACCCAGTGTTGAAGAACCCAGTGCTTTCAGCACTTTGATTTTTCTGTTCTGTCAATTGGCGGTACAAAAATGGCGCATGACTCCGTCGAAAAATGTGTATTATAATCTAAATTGATCTGACCTGGTATTGATAGGAAAATCTAGCTCGAAAAGTAACTTTTGTAGCTATACACGCGTCAACATTTGTCTCAAATTTCATTAATGTTCTTGGGTATGTACTGTATTAGATTATACTGCCTACGGCAGTTTCGACATTTTCCATTTGACTCGTCAGATTTTATTCAAAATGTGTTAGGTAATTTGCAAAGGGGCTTTTAACGTCGAGTGTGTTGGTTCAAGTAACAGTTTTTTCAACAGCATTTAAATTAAAATGTAGCTTTACAACTTAAAATAGAAAATTAAACATAATATCTATTCAAAAATAAAATGATAAAACATATTTGAACAAAATTTTATTCAGTATGCAGTCTATTTTTTCGTCTCTTTAATAAAAAAAAATATGTTTTAAAAATGTACTTTGTACTTTGTAATTCAAATTTCTTCTGTTTGTTAATCAAAATTGTACGCATAATATTGAATGTTAAATCTACATTCAATTATATTAACAACATTCTTTGAATATTTTCAGTCGGGTTAAGAATGCTAAATTTTACTCTCTGTTATGCTTAAAGGTTTAAAGCAGCATGTTTCCAGATCCATGCTATTTTTCATTAAAAAATTTAAAAACTGATATATTTAAAAGTAAAATATTGTAAAGGTAACAAAGAAAGTAATTTACTCACAGCAAACGGCACTTACGATCAATCAACGTTAATTACCAAAAATAGGTCAAAATATGCAAAATATAGATCTTAATGCGTTAGAAAAGCAGCAGAAATATGGTTATATAAATATATATGTATATATTTGTTAAAGAAATTAGTATAGTTTAGAACAGTTAAATAAGGAGAGTTTGTTTTTAGTTATACAAATCAATGCCAAGTCATAATTTTGACACAACTACTGTTGTTATAGAACAAACTTCATACAGTTTAGCACAATACAAATTGTAATCTCTGAACTATTTTGTTTATGATTAAATTTTCAGCCCTTTTATATGGAATAGGCAGAGTAGTTTGAATTTTAACTTAACTTAAATATGACATACTTGCCAAGAGTTTTGACTTGCCAAAGTTATGATAAGAACAAACTAAGATGTAATTTAATTTCTTTTTCTGTATATGAACATTAAGTGAGTAGTCATAAAAAGATGTGATAGAGTTTTTAAGTTGTATTTTAATAGTCTCTAGCAAATCAAATATTTGATAGGTTTCATATATGTATGCCAATTTTTTTTAGCCTGTATTTTATTTTCATTGATATATACATATATGTTATTGAGACCTAGATAAATAAACAAATAAATATATACAGTAAATTCTCTCTATTAAGACCACTAACGGGTCTGACTCAAAGTGGTCTTAATAGTGAACTGATCTTAATAGTGAATAAGTCACTTTAACAGCCGACGAAGTCTAACTTAACTTCAAATTCAAATTTAATGTATACCTTGTATAGTTTTATGCACAAGGTAAATGTACTTAATTAAATGAGTAAAAAGATACACTTTTTTTTTTAAACAAAAAACATTTTTAATGCATGATAATAATTATTATACTATATATATATTTCATTAGTCATTAATCGCACATAGCATGTAAAATTTTTCTTAAATCTTGAATCTTTTTACTTTAAAATAATTTTTCAAAATCTTAGAAGTACATTTTTCTCAAGTTTGAATTTCCTGAAATATTTAGGCTCATCTGGAAGCATGCAGCTTTAAGTGTCTTTAATCTTTAAAAAGGATCGGTAAATGTAAAGCTGAGAGACTCAAAGATTTAACATTGAACAGTAACCTGTGAACGTCCGAAATATAGCTTTAATCAGATAATTTGTTTGACCCGAGTACCATTCAAGATCCATTTAAAAGATATATACATGTATTAGACTCGAATGTTGCTGATATACGGACAGACGGAAGTCGGACGGTAGGTCTGACGGACGGACATACGGATATAGCATAGAACATCCTTTCGAATGTAAACATTTGTCTAGGGAACGAACTTTTCTAAGTGATCTTAATATAAGATACTCCTACTTTTGTCGCAATGAATAAGTTTAATGAAATAAGTTTTTTTTAAAGAATGTCTACTAATTGTATACATTTAAATACGCAGGTAGCTTGCTGAGGCGTGAGCACAAACTATTCTAACTAGTGTTTATCCTAAAATTTGAGTTTCTTTTTCTTTTTCTTCTCATTGGTATACAAAGGAAATTTAATATTTCAAAATGTAAATTTCGAACGTAAACAGCGTCGCTAAGACATGTGATACCATGCTTGTGTACTACTTTTGAATGACATTATAATGCAAATGTAAAGCGAATTAATGTCGCTTAAACACGGGGCCCTTTTTTAACCGCCATTTGTTGCATGTTTATCATATTTCAGGCAAGGATCAACCGGATGGAACGGGACTGAATCCCCACCACCATACGACTTGCCTGTTGTTGTTGTTGTTGTTGTTTTTAGCTCACCTGTCACAAAGTGACAGGGTGAGCTTTTGTGATCGCTTTTCGTCCGGCGTCCGTCCGTCGTCCGTCCGTCTTCCGTCGTCCGTCCGTCGTCCGTAAACGTTTACTTTAAATGACATCTCCTAATAAACCACTAGGCCAATTTCATCTAAACTTCACAGGAATGTTCTTTGGTGGTCACCTTTAAAAATTGTTCAAAGAATTTAATTCCATGCAGAACTCTGGTTGCCATGGCAACCGAAAGAAAAAACTTTAAATATCTTCTTTTAAAAAACCCTAAGAGCTAGAGCTTAGATATTTGGCATGAAACATCTTCTTATGGGTGTCTACCAAGTTTGTTCAAATAAAAGCCATGGGGTCAAAATTGGCCCCGCCCCAGGGGGTCATTGATTTTCCCTATATGCATATAGTAAAAACTTAAAAAATCTTCTTTTAAAGAACCCAAAAGCTAGAGCTAAGATATTTAGCATGAAACATGTTCTAATAAGTGTCTACCAAGTTTTGTTCAAATAAAAGCCCTGGGGTCAAAATTGGCCCGCCCCAGGGGGTCATTGATTTTTCCCTATATGCATATAGTAAAAACTTAAAAAATCTTATTTTTAAAGAATTCAAAGAGCTAGAGCTAAGATATTTAGCATCAAACATGTTCTAATAGGTGTCTACCAAGTTTGTTCAAATAAAAGCCCAGGGGTCAAAATTGGCCCCGCCCTGGGGGTCATTGATTTTCCTTATATGTGTAAAGCAAAAACTTAAAAAATCTTCTGTGAAAAAACCAAATAGCTAGAGTTTAGATATTGAGCATGAAACATCTTCTAGTAAGTGTCTACAAAGTTGTTCAAATAAAAGCCCTGGGGTCAAAACTGGCCCCGCCCCAGGGGTGTCATTGTTTTTAACTTTATGTGTAAAGTAAAAACTTAAAAAAATCTTCTTTTAAAAAGCCCAATGAGCTAGAGCTTAGATAATTAGCATGAAACATCTTCTTATGGGTGTCTACCAAAGTTTGTTCAAATAAAAGCCCTGGGGTCAAAATTGGCCCCAGCCCCAGGAGTCATTGATTTTCCCTATATGCATATAGTTAAAACCTAAAAAATCTTCTTTTAAAGAACTCAAAGAGCTAGAGCTAAGAAATTTAGCATCAAACATGTTCTAATAGGTGTCTACCAAGTTTGTTCAAATAAAAGCCCTGGGGTCAAAATTGGCCCCGCCCCGGGGGTCATTGATTTTTCCTTATATATGTATAGCAAAAACTTAAAAAATTTTCTTTGAAAAAAACCCAAATAGCTAGAGTTTAGATATTAAGCATGAAACATCTTCTAGTGAGTGTCTACAAAGTTCGTTCAAATAAAAGCGCTGGGGTCAAAATTGGACCCGCCCCAGGAGGTCATTGATATTCCTTATACAGTATGTGTATAGTAAAAACTAAAATATTTCTTTTAAAAAATAACAAATAGCTAGAGTTTTAGATATTAAGCATGAAACATCTTCTAGTAAGTGTCTACAAAGTTTGTTCAAATAAAAGCACTGGGGTCAAAACTGGCCCCCCCCAGGGGTTGTCATTGTTTTTTAACTATATGTGTATAGTAAAAACTTAAAAAAATCTTCTTTTAAAAAGCCCAATGAGCTCTGAGAAGCATATGTTAGCATGAAACAATCTTAACTTTGAGTGGGGGTGGCTATATATCTAGTGAGCGACCTCGAGGCACATGGTCCTTCTTTTTTTTATTTTTTCTAATTAAATAAACGGACTACCAAAATTTAAATTTATTCAGTCAAAAAACTGCTTAAGATAAAGTTTGTACTCAACTACATTTCGTAACTGGAGGCCTTAAAAAAAACGAGCAAATAACTATAAAAAATTTATCATTAAAAGCAAATTTCAAAATAAGTATTCTCCTTTTTCAAGTTTGTTATATTAATGTTTATCATCTGTCTCTTTTACATTTAAATGCAAGTTAGATTTAATTCATACGTGTTAATCTAAAAACCATAATTTCTGATAATGATTTATTAGTATTCATCAAGTGTTGGTGAATTCGAGGCCGTATATTATAATATATTTTATAGTAAAATTAAGAAATGGTGATTGAACAAGTCCTGTACGTCATTCTACACCTAAAATGTATTCATATTTATTTAAAATACAATATACTGTACAACAATACGTAAGTAAGTAAATAGGCGATATTTGTGCACATAAAACCAGTACACTGGAACAAATAGTAAATTAGTATGACAACAAATGTAAATAATTTGGAGTATGGAGCAGGTATATTAAAATATCATTTGAATTTGTCACATGCGATTTTTATGATTGCTCGCCTGTCAATTTTCCCGGTATTAGTCTCGGGGAAGTTTATCTATGAACATGTAGAACTTTTGGTAAGAACAGTGAAAAGAGCCCTGGTTTATCACTATGGTTTGACGTCCTCTTCTCCAAACTTTCGCAACATCTCTTCAGTAAGATCACTTCCGGGTTTCCTCACTACGCATGCGCACACGACCTGGTAGTAAATATCGTCTGGTAAAGGAACGATGACAGCTGTTTCAACACCTGGCAAATGTCTTATAACTTCTCAATATTCAGGGCAAACTTTGAGTCCCCCAGATATGATCATGCGAATTTTTCTCCCTCCCTTAATACTATAAAAATAATAGTACCTTTCTATCGCTTAATTTCTCCAATGATCATCCATTGCTATACCAAACCGTCCGGTCATACAGCTTTGTTTCTCCTAGTCATTCAAAATACCCTTAAACATACCCTGGAGTTAAACAATATCTCTCCGCGTTGTGATTACAGTAACGTCTAGCCATTTTATCTCAAAATTCTTCATTTCAATTACTTTAGATTTACGGTGGTCCACACGCATATTCTGTAAGTACAGTATCCATCATTTCAACCATTAAAACAGTGTAAGGAATAACCCAATTCAGACACCATAAAACATGCAAGAAAAACGCCAGCTTTATCCAATGCAGCTTGCTAGACAATTTGTCATTGGCTGACCTCCAGTCAATATTCCCTTTAGTGGCCAATTGGAAGGCAGATCATCCTAGTTAAAATAGAAATTGAATATTCAATATTTTCTTTGAACAAATTTAATTTGTATTTCAAAGCTCGCATTGACATTTTTCACAATATTTGAAAAAACAATAGTAATCATCAAAATTCTGTAAAAGGCCTTGGACTTTTTATGTAATAAGATGTTTACCTGAGTTCTTTTAAGCTCGGCCATTAGTGGTGGTAGACCTAATGTTAAAGTGCATCCCTCTTTTAGTATAACATCCTTCATAAAAGCTACTCTATCTTTCGGTGCCTCACAAAATCCTGATACTGTTACTCGTGTTTGACCGGTCATAACTGAGAACGGATATCCTCCGATCCATGTAAACGGTCTATCATTGAAAATTATATGGTTTGAATCAAAGGCTATAAGATTCGTGCCACTTGCGGATAACAGAGTCCCGTGTGTATGTACAACAAGCTTTGGTATTCCCGTACTCCCGGACGTTTGTAGGAATGTCGCAACATCATCTGATTCTATATTGGCAAAATTTACATCAACCGATGAATCATCTAGAAACGAACCTCTGAAGTCTCTAACGTTGCCAGACGCATTTTCAAAGCCAACACCGAGAAGATACCGAAGGTAAGGTAATTTGGTCGATTTCACTGCGCCTGTGACATCGTGGTATTCGAGGAGCTTTTGCAAAATGTTCCAATTAACGTTGTCAAATCCGGGGTCCATTATCAACAGTGAGCAGCATTGTAGTTTTTCCATGGTCGCTACTAGGTCGCTTCCATCTGAGTATTTAAATGAGATACTCATCGGGATGGCACCTGCAATCATGGATCCGAATGTGGCATATAGCCATTCAGGACACGAACGAAGGTTTACTGCAACTATTTCCTTTCTTTTTACACCGAGCCGTATAATTGCTCTTGCCGCTGCACACGATCTCTCGTACAGAGCTTTCCATGTTACACTTTGTCTGTCTCCATCTGTTGAGACGAAAATGAAAGCGTCTATGTCCGATTTCGTAGAAGAATATTCTTTAATGCATTCAATTATGTTTTTAAAACGTACTTCTTTGTCGTTATCTTCAACCCTTACATAACTTGTTTCGTAAATGCGAGCCATTCTCAACTTGCAATGCCTTACTGAATAGAATGTATTAGAAAATAATCTTCTATTCAAACTCACACTATTTGAAGATCGTTGGCCGTGACGATTGTTGCTGTTTATCATTTAATAAAATAAAAAGGAATAAAAAAACGAAAATAGTGTACCTTTTTCAAATTACCTTGTGGACCTTCCAGAGTACAGACATCCGACTTTTTCATGCAAAAACGTAAGAAATGTTTGTTGGCTAATTAAAATCTGGTTATTGTTTGTTTTGCCCTAATAATAAAGTAGGTTTCGTAACTTTAAATATGCATTTCGGCCCTTTCCGCCAAACTTCGGTAAATAATTATGAATAATCGGTGAATGGTCCAAATGAAAACTTTGTTTTGTTTAAAGACCATTTAAATATGTTAAACATGCTGATATTTTTATGATTCTATATCTTTTTAGAAACATAATTTGATAAAATGTATATGCTTTAACGTTTGTTGTTATTCAAATGAAAGTTTACATTTAAACCAATATTTACTTTAAACTGTTAACTGAAATGGAACATATTGCGCAGCATTAAGTGCCTTTCCTTTTGCCACTGTTTAAGGTACATGTATTAGATCCATAAATGAAAGTTTTAGTAACTTTTTACAACGGCAAAGATGGAAAATTTAAAAAAGTGGTGATATTTTTCTCAAATTTGGCATGATTAAAGAGAAGCGTGATTGAAAAATTATGATTAATATAAAATGTTATCATCTTACTTGTTGAGTTATCTGCCCCTGTATGTGAGTGTTTTACGCTTTTCGGGCACTTTCGGGGCAGATAATTCAATATCAAGCATACCAATACTTTATTTTATTTTATTTCAAATCAATAAATTTCTTTATTTTCAGTTAATATGCAAAGGTTAAACAATAATATCACAAATATAATTTGCTATGCTTCAATGTGTCAACATATTACATTTTCCTTCAAAAAAGGGGCATAACTGAAAGAAATTTCATATCATTAAACTTAAGCAACTGCAGAATAAAATCTGTCGCATAGCATTTCAGCATTTTTTTGCACCATGACAGTTTATAAATTATCACAAATTTAAAATCAATTTAGGTATTGCTTGCCACAGTTTTGAGTTATCTACCCTTGCAAATGACTTTAAAGAGCCAATTACTCACATTCAGGGGGTAAATAACTAGTAGACGGTGACACCCAACTTTCTTTTCATCATTTAGTTTAAACAAAAATTCTCATGCAACATTTTAGGAAAATTAAACCGCTATTTTAAATTTTCCTTCTTTTCCTATGTAAAAAAATCGAATTAGAGAAAATGTTATAAATTCATTTACAGTAATTTAACTGGAAATTCATTAAAGCCGGTGATATACCTTCAATGTTACAATACAAATAAATACAGTTATATACAATAAAGTAATGCACTGCTATACAATAGTATGAGATTATTTTACATTGTTGAGTACAATTTTGAATTATATTGGACGACTACCCAGCTGTCAATCCTATATTGGGAGAGGCGCTATCCGAGTCTGGTATAGACTTTACAGCTGTGTATGAGCCCATTAGTCAGGATTGTTCTCAACAATCTATATTGACTGGTTTCATTTCATACCACCATTTGATTAACATTTTTGAAAGAACTTTTTACTTCAAATACAATATATATTTGATATAAATTTTTGGACTCAGAAATAGAAAACGAGGTGAGATTGAGCACGATATACATATGATATACATTTTTGGACTCTGAAAAATGCAGAAGAGGCTATATGGGATATGTTTTTTGGACTCTGGAAATGGAAAAAGGCTAAATTGGTGAGATTTCATACAATAATGATTTCTGTATGAAAATCACGTGGTTCAAACACTGGAGGTTCATTGGTTACATCTTATAAGGTGAGGAATACAATACAATACAATATAATGCAATACACAATACAATACACAATACAATACTACAATACAAAACAATACAATACTACAATACAATAAATACAATACAATACAAATTATATGAATGTCATGCAATGCAATAAAAACAAAACAAAACGAAACATATAACAAATGACACATGAACCATAGACATATCTACGAGGCCCCATATTGGATTTCATCGATTTTCAAAAATAGTCAGGGGAAAAGACCGCGTATTGACTGAAAAGTCATACTACAGATTCCGTTGAGTTTTTAGCTCCCTTGAATTTAGAAAACGAACGACATTAAAAGATAGAGATTTTAAAAAATCACATGAGTTTATGGGGCAATATTTGTCAATTTATTGTATGTGCGGAAAGAGAAAATTTACAGCAACAATATTTATAAATGACTTTGATCTGCGTAACCCACGGAAATGAAAATGATCAAATATAGCAGCAAATGTGAAAATATTTGTAATAAAAGTATCAAAAAGTAAACAAAGTAGTATTTTGACTTCCATACAAAATACTATTTCACTATAATAACTGTACTTATTGCCAAAAAGCAACAGATAGTCCAGGTAATTGACCTTGTGGCCTTCCTGATTAACGCCTTGTCGAATCTTCCCTATTTTTTGTCAACACAATTTAAGATGTGACAAAGCATAACTTGTTTGACCTTTGGTCGTGTTTTGTGTGTGTCTTTCTTTCTTTCTTTCTTTCTTTCTTTTACGATGAATAAAAAAATTATGCATTATAATTTTGAAACCTTAGACTGAATAATGATAAATGTAACATGTTACATTCTTAAACTACCCCATGCCAGTCGCTTGACTTTAATCTAAGATAACATTGACTTCATACGGGTCACATAAAAGTTTATCATACACGTTTTTTTTGCAACTTCATTTTGTCATTAGAATGATAAATTATTAAAGTTGGTCGAGAGAAAATAACAACATTTATATGTTCCGTTTAAATTTATATAGGGCATTACCGAAAAAAAAACATCCGTGTCATATGCTGATGATTAATTTTTATACTGTTTCGGTCAATTAATAAATGAGAAAAATAGTGGTTTACCAAAAAGATAAGTATACTCAAAAAATTTTATAGGGATAAAAATTTAATAAATTTTTTTATGGGTAACAAAAATTAATTAGTTAAAATTTATAAAAAGATTTTTCGAGGCATTAATTTTTTGTTTTTTGCTATCAAATGTTTGGTTAATCATTAAGGTGACAACGGTGTTTTGTTACTGGCTTTTTAGGTTTTTTGGGATGGGTTAAACAATTGGAATGAATTTGAAATGACCCAAAATTGTAAAGTGTTGTTACCAAATTGGGGGCCTATTTGCGTTGATACGCCGACACCGTCCCTCATGCCCCTGAAACTCGCTTGGGGTTTGTGGGGTTAAAACAAACCCCCCTAAGAAGGCCGTTTAACCGGATGGTGATTGGCTTAACAGGGCGAGCTGATTTTACAAAATAATGTCATTTCTCTGTTTTATGCTAGTGCGATGATGTAAAATAGTAGTAAAAAGCATCTCATAGCAAAAAGTGACGTTCCAGTCAGACAGACTGTGGCCCTAGACATCGTTCTGGGTTGACTGATCGGTCACTATAATCCCTGAGAGCGATCAGTAATATTTACTATTTTTTAAAACGTATGTTAAAATGAACAATACAATATTTGAAATTTTAAAAAGCAAATATTTTCCGTCATGATGCATGAAATACGTTAAAGGTTTTAATAATTCAATATGGCCTCGTTATTCAATGAAGATTCCATTCATTAATTTAGTATGATGGCATTAACTACAAGATATTACTTAAATTTATCACTTAAAATTTATTTTTGTTATTTAATTTTTATGACCACAAAGTGCGTCGTTTGCCTGATGCTAAAAAATGCATATGAACCTGTGTAACGCGTTTTCGGGTCAGGATTTCACCATAACTGCGTTACATACTTTTGGGTCCAACCCAAATAGAGTTTGACTCCAAAATACGGTGTTACAATGTACGATCACTAAAATGATACGATGTGACAGCAACTTTACAATAAATGCACCAATCTGCTAATGACACAGTTGTTATACTTAATCATATCATTCGCCTTGACTTTAATTTGTAATCAAATTTCTCACTATTCTTTAAAAAAGACGCTTTCAACGATCGTAAAACTTCAACTCTTTCCTTCGGATCCTAAGACATAAGGTACGTAGAACACAAATAACGTTACACCAGCGCCATTCGCACGTGTTATAAGGCAGTGTTTGTTCGCGAAAAATGCTTTTACGATTTCCTAAAACATCTAAAAAGTTTGTCGATGTCTGATTTAGAAGGAAAATTGATTGTTATCAATTTCAAAATATCTCTGAAATTCTTTTAGTTCTACTGTATAAAAGACACATATCACTATCACTTTTGCCAAAAGGTGGCACGTGGAGGTCGCCATTTTACCATGTAACCAAAAGGAGTTCCAATATGTCGCGTTATTATGTCAAAAAATCTATTGCAAAGCAAAGTAGCCGAGGAGATCAGATTGCTAAAAGAAGGGAGAGATCTTCATTTTGTGCGACTTTTCGTATGTTCGAATTAATGCTGCACCAATCCATATGAGCCAAAATATGTCAAGAAAATTTACCTTAAGAAAAATTTACTAAGCTTTTTTTAATTCAAAGAAAACATATAAACAATTCAAGAAATAATTTACATGTTACATTTGTATATGCGATTAATAACCGATTCCGCACCCTATTTCTACTGCACTACGGGCTATTCTTGCATATTCTGGCCTATTTCTGATATTTACAAATTTGTAAATGTGCCATTTGCTATGTGTCAAGTATTTCAATTGTCCATTTGACAGTTTTTACTTTTTTATTACCTGAAAATTATCATAAATCTGGAGTCGTGCTGCTTTAATGGTTAACAAAACGCTGTTGAAAACAGTTCAGGGGGTAAGAATAGATTTTTCAAATTAAGACGATAAAGTAGGTCAAACCATTGGGGCTTATAATCATAGCAAGTAAACGAGATCTTTGCCATCGTCAGCAATTTAACTATTATGTATAAGAAGTTGAAGTCGTCTACGGTTACTTTTATCATAAAGTATACATTCATTTATGTCATCTGGAAT